TAGGTGCGTTCCTCTAAGTCTTCCTACCAATATGACCATGTTGTGAAAACAAGGTCAAACAACTATACAACGAAAGAAGACTGCGACCACACAAAAGGCCACACCATTTGGTCTTCATACCTTTAATCAATTTTCTTTTATATCTATATATTTATTCATCAATCTATCCTCCTATCTACTTGTCTATCTCTCTCTCTCTCTGTTTTTTTTATTCATCCATCCACCCACCTGTATCTATGTATATATATATATACATATATATATATATATATATATCAATATTTGTATATGTCTATCTGTCTGGGGACATTTGAAGCTCTTTGCTGAGGCACAGTTGAGTGGCACTGCTGAGATGCTCTTCAGCCCAGCTGCTCGGGCTCTGCTGGAATAGGAGATCTCTTTGTTTGCCCAAACTTTATTACCTTAAGAACTTGATGAAAAGTAGGATGGATGGGCATTGTGGGGTGTCTAGATGATTCTGGCGCATGAAAAGGCGAGGTGCTGGCTGCAGATGCACTCAGGGATAAATTGGTTCGTTCGACTGGGGCACAAGTGCTTTCAGCCAAGCCATGGCCGGATCCTAGGTGCAGCCCAGTCTCTGACCTATGCACTTCATTTCCACCCTTGCTAGACTGTTAAGCCAATGTATACATAGTCATGCATACTCTGGCTCCTCATAAGGCTGTATGGTAGCTTATCGACTAGTACTTGTGGCATTATTAGAAGGAATGAGAAACCGTTCTGGACGGCACAGCAACCTCTGCGTCTGCTCTTAACCCCCGCGGTGTGCCGTCCTCTCTTCGTCTTCTGCCCCAACGACGGATGTGTTTTCACCGTCTGGCTGATAGCCACGCGGCCTCTCGGCCCGAACATACTTTCCGAGTCACAGTATGGCCGATCGCCTCCAAGTGGGCAAGGGACTGACGGTCAGGTGGGGTGGGAAGTTGGGTCAACCGGAGGGATTGGCTCAGAGCCCTCGGAAGCCAACAAGAGAACCGATGCCATCTTCTCTTTTTGTCGCTTTCTTCCGACTCGAGATCGCTTTGTAGCAACGCGACTTTCAGCACTTGCTCGCTTGGTCAGTTCTCTTTCTCCGTCCTCTTGCATGCTATTGGCATTCAGATGTTGACAAGCTGGTCACTTAAAGGGCCTGTTGCAGCCTTGCCTCCGCCAGACGGGAACGCAATGAATGAGTACTCTTATGGAGCCATTATCATTTCAGTATCGCTGGACGACACAGATTTATACGAAGAAAAGTTGGGTTTTGAGGAATCTTTTGTTTTATAATTGTTGAGCTTACTTCCATTTCGAGTGAAAGTGTTGGGTGAAGAGATTCGCAGGTCGATTTCAGCAGAAGACGACGGCGGATTCCTCGTGACCAGTTGTCGATAGGCTTTACTCGAAGATTCATGCTGATGCCGTTTCCGAGGCAATCTCCTTCGATTCCGGTAAAAATGTGCTAAGCTCGTTAGCTTGAATTTGGTTGTGACGATGATACCTTGCTCTGATGATGTTCGTCATATGACGGACTAAAGCTTAGCACCTTTTCACCGGAATCGAAGTAGATTACCTCAGAAAAAACATCAGCATGAATCTTCTAGTAAAGCCAATCGACAGCTGGTCAAGAAGAATCCGCCGTCGTCTTCTGGTGGAACCGACCTTCGAGACACAGATTTACCAGGAAAATGTGTGTTTTAATCATTTTTTCCATTCCCACAAAATAATTGACTCTCCGGCTCTTTTACTAGGGCCTCAGTTGTCTCATTCTGCTCACGAGTAGAATCCAAAACGAATTGGACTCGTCTAGCATCGAGCCGTTGACCGGACAAATTTCCATACGTCGCATCATCCCTTAAGCCGAACGACAGCTCTTCGAAGTATTAAAATGTTAGTTCGAGGTTAGTAAAAGACAAAACAACAGGGGCAAAGGACGCAGTATCCGATTGAAGATAGGACCAAGTTGCAAAAAGTGGATCAAATCAACCCTGTCTAGCAAACAGAGACTAAGATCAAACTAACGAATACAGCACACGATATCTGAAGGAGGCATTGTTGGGCGGAAAAGTTAATACCAATTAAAATAAGAAATGAATCAAATTTAACTCAAAATCAACTTTAACTAATTTCAAACTGACACAAACTAATCGAAGATATGAAGACCAAGATGGTGTGGCCTTTTGTGTGATCGCAGTCTTCTTTCATTGGATAGAGGTTGTTTGACC